GGGGCACTTCGGACGTTAAAGGTTAAGATATGGATCAAAACATGTAGCAGTCACTAACAGCATTCGAGTTTGTAAGTGGTGGTAAGAGTTTTGTCTTCTGGGACACAACACCCCCTGTAGGCCGGTGAAAGTTAGTGTTTTGAGGGAACATGTTGCCCCCATCTTAATGATTGAAGAATAAGCAGGTAGCCATACCTGCTTCACACTGGTTTCTTGTTTGGCTCATTTGTTACCCCTGAAGGGGGAGGCACCATTCTCCTCTGAAATGTTGGTTCAGTAATTAATGTACTGACCAGTTAGCTAACTCAGCTCATTTATAGTCATAATCTCAGTTATTCTGTCTTCAAGAAATTCCATGCAGAAGTATCGCCAATATGCTGCTTGCAATGGTGTGGTGTTAGTTAACTACATAACTATAGAGGCAACAATGTGTGGTTCTCCTAAGTGTCATTGACTCCCATATCAATCCATACTTACAACTCCATGAATAGGAACAGTTCAAAGGCAAAACTGAATTTGTATTGTTGTTGTGAAAGCAGATTCCCAGTGTAATGCCAATTTGTTGATGATTTGCAAGGACTGGTCTCTGACCATGCTTTAATGCCTTGAATGTTCTTTTCAGTTGGCATGTTCCTCTTTGACTGCCTCTTCCTGTCACAAAGGTATCCCATGTTCCACCACTTTAAGCGAACCTAGAAATGCACTTCTTGTAAGTTTCTTTCTTATGAAAACTTGCTGACGAATCATACGTAGGTAAGTATTACCGTTTCTCACGGTGTTGTCGCTTGCAGATTTCTTAAACTTTTTCTTCAACCCTGAAGATGGGGGCGATACGTTCCTCCGAAACGTCGGTTAACACCACATATACACGGTGCCAAATCCCAGAAGACTGCTTTAAGTTACAAATGGATATAAAACTTAAACAAATAAGAGTACTGATTTGAAAAATGCTTTTATTTCTTAATATAATCTCCCTGTACATTGAGGCACTTGTCCCATCATTTCACAAGCCCCTCAAAACCAGTAGCATAAAATTCTTTGGGCTGCTGTTGGTGACTGGGATCACAAAGGCATACTTCTAATCACATTCCAGCCTCAAGGACAAGCCGTAAATGCCGACTTCTACTGTAACATCCTCAGGAAACTTCATAAGGCCATTCAATGGAAGTGACCAGGACTCCTCACTAAAGGCGTGTTGCTCTTGCATGACAACACGCGTTCCCATACTGCCAACTGGACAAATGAGACACTGTGAAATTTCAAGTGGGAAGTCCTCAAGCATNCAGGACTCCTCACTAAAGGCGTGTTGTCCTTGCATGCCAACGCGCGTCCCCATACTGCCAACAAGACAAATGAGACTCTGTGAAATTTCAAGTGGGAAGCCCTCTAGCCCCAACCTTGCTCCAAGCAACTTCCATTTGTTCGGCCCTCTTAAACATCATCTTTTGGCTAAACATTTTCCCGATGATGAAACTGTAGAAAGGGAAGTCACCGCTTGGTTCCGACAGCAGCCCAAAAAATTTTATGCTGATGGTTTTCAGGGGCTTGTGAAATGATGGGACAAGTGCCTCAATGTTGAGAAATAAAAGCATTTTTAATATCAGTACTCTTTATTTAAGTTCTATATCCATTTGTAACTTACTTATTGACTTACCCTCATATATCTCACTGCAACAGTGAAGAATTCAGACCTGAACACAAAACGATTTGAGCAAGCAGAACTGTCAGTCATACTGTTTCAATATGTTTGTTGACTGCGCAAATGACTCATCATCAATTGACAAGTAATGCAATGATTGCACACACAAATATTTGCTGCATGCGACACCCTCTCTCCGCTAAAGTTCACCAACAAACGACGGTCACTCGGTCGGTATAGCTCCCTTGCGGACTGAAGCCACAGTTTATTAGTATTATTAATTGCAGTAACACTATGATTCCTTTTCGTCTGGACACATCTGCACTTCAGTTGATACTGCAGTTTCAAATTTGATGAAAACTGCAGCTATAGAAGAGAACTTCCTTGCAAAGGTTCCATCCACTTGTTGCATTTGAGGTAATTCAGAATACAGCAATAATCTGGATCAAAATATGAAAAAATGAGAAATTCTGTTCAAAATTGAGTACATACTTTAAAAAGATGCATGGAATTTAGGAGCAAGAGGACTTTCAGACTGTGTTGAGGCCAGCTGGAGAGACTGAAAGCACACAAGAAAATATCTAAGATTGGCTTGAGCTGGATGGAGACCCTGGATTTCAACTTCTGGCAGAGGAAGAAATTGCTGCTGATTTTATTAAAATGATTCTGTTATGGATCAAGAAGAGTCAGATAATTAACTACATGAATTACAAGGATCTATTCCATTTATTTTTTTTTTAATTTTTTTGCGTCATTACTCCAGATTATTGCTCAATCTGGATGATGATCTCCACCCAATTAATCCAGAGTATCGAGGGTTTATTGTAATGTGGAAATAATGGGTTTTAGTGAAATTTATGAAGTGTCTGTCAGTGTCTTTTTGTACGTGAAGGCCAAATCACTCATCCACTGTTTGTTATGTATAGTTGGGTGATTTGTAGCTGAAAGAAATATGTCTTTAGTGTTTAGTGGTGAACTAGACAGTGGCCATTATAATGATCTGCTGCCAGTTGAAGAAAAATGAAGTTAAGTATATTTGATGAATTTTGTTTCTATACACAACCTTTGCCAAAAACGTTTCCCCTCGATAACAGTAACATTTATGTGCATACTGTTATTCTGTCAGGTTTAGTACCTTAGTGTAAACTTGAAAGTTTGTTTCTAACACTTTTCCACTGAAATTTCAATAGGCATGACATTGGCGCTAATATAAAACACAGTGGGTTACAAATCAGCACTTCCATCAGAAGTGTAAGTCAGAAAGAACATAAATCTAAACTTAAGCTGAAAAGGATCAGAGTGAAGAAACATGCCATCTGAAAGGAGGATGATCTTTGGTACCCTAGAAGTACAGAAATTTGAAAACTCGTTTACTCTGACACCGAAGTGACAAAACATTTTACTTGAACAGAACACAAATCTACTCAAGAAAGCCCATAATAAGTAACAGTTACAAAGGATGCTTTGTGAAGGAATTAAGGAATTCTGTTAAGAAGACATGATACATGTAGGGACATACTGCTAAACATCTAAAAATCAGAATACAACCATATGTTTTTCTTTGTGTTGTACATTATTTTGACTGTACATATAAATACAAGTTTTGTTTTACTGTCTTTTATGACACTGTTATTTGCATATCACACAGCTTACAACTTGCTTATAGAGCTGTAATGGCAACTGTTATTTCAGGCTTGTTACACAGTGAACAAGGGGCTATATGGAGAAGGTTCAAGGTCAGCACTTTTATGGATACTGCAGGTACAGCATGCAACCTGAAGTCTGTTTCTGCCAATTACATGTCTAAAAGTTGTGAATTTCCACTTCTTAACTTCACTTCCTTGTACTAAACTTTCTGTTATATTTAAGTCCTTATTTTTTTTTTTCAAAATTTACCTCCTATAAAATTAATGAAATGATTCAATATTTATGTATAAAATATAACATTGGAAAAACAATATCTAACTCATCTCTTGTATGGAAAACTGCATGGCTGATTCACATTTTTTTTTTAAAGTAAAGCATAATAATACAGCACATCCAAGTTCACCTTGGTATGTTTCTGGTCTGAAACAATATTCTTAAGTCCTGACAACTGTAGACAGAGGTAAGTACAGAATGTTTACATGACACTACATATTCACCAACTACAAAGGATAGTTACAACAAGAAGTATACACCTCAAAAGTGGAGTGGAGAAGAGGAACACTTCTACAAACATTCACATACACTACAGGATCATCACACTCAAGAGCGTAGCTTTGTACAGCATACACAATGATCAGTACAGCATCTCTTGCATGTACAAACATTCCTATGTCTTGTCACATTTCAAAAAACAAAATTCATTCTATTACAAACATGTTATCACGTGAACAATCAGATTCTATACCACCTTTACTGTTATGTAAAAGGGAAATGAAATCCTGATTATTTTGGAATGTCCCTTGTCCTACACAATTCTTGTGATGTCTGCTGTATGAAATTAGGTGAGTGAATTGTAGTTTGCAAATTCACCACTTACATTTATCAAACTGAATATTTTTCAATCATCTCTCACTACACTTGAAATTATTGATCACAGCATGGCAACACTGCAATTAAACAATACTGATGTGAGTATCCAATTTTCTTTGAGTAGTAATACATACTTAAAAGAAACCTGATTGCTTTTCTCTGAATCTTTGGCTCACTGTAAACCTGCAAGCTTTGTACCAAGAACTGCATGAAGGGGTAACTTCAAATTAAGAAATTGGAAGCCAATGTGATGCATCTGCCCATACATATGCCTTCATTCAGAGAACACTGTATGTGATGAGGCCTGGCAGTGGTTCTTGGATCTGTTCAGTATAATATGAATCCCTCTGAGCAACAAGGGGGCATATGGTGCTACAAGTCTACTCTAATGATCTACCTGCATGGCCATTGGAATGCTGGATTAATGGAAAGAGTGTTATGTAGCATCTTTAGTGGGATATGATATATGGGTTATATTCCATTTTCAACCGTGCTGAAACTCGACACATACTGCACTCCCATGATAGTCATCACTCCACTACTATGTCTTTAAGCAATACACGTCCGCAAAGTAAAAAATATTTTGGTAGTAACTTACTTACTTAACTCATGGAGCTGAGCCCTTCTGGAGGAGCCGCCAATTCTGCAACTACTCAAGAATTTCCCAGCATCTTATGGAACCCAAAGGTTCATTACCGTGTTTACAAGAGCCTTCACGAGGCTTTGTGTTCATTTTCATAACATAATTATTTTTATGGTGAGGAGTTGTTAGCCCCACACCCAACACCGTAAGCTGGAGGACTACCCCTTGTTGGCTGTCCACGACTGCTTATTCAATATATTTGCAGCTTCCCTCCAAAACTGGAGGGCGTCTTCTCCATCCGCAACCTGAGGATGCGCCATGCCGTGGTGACAAGGGAGTAATGAAGACAAAATTCATACTCTTGGGAATAGGTAGGAGGCAGGTGGTGAACATGTTTTTTATAATACAGCATTAGTATGGGGAGGAGTATGATCCCTTTGAATGCCATGTAGAAGACAAGACTACTTCACCATTTACAATTACAAGATAGCTCTCATGTAGCTAGGTGAGCCCAAAAGATTGAAGGATTCTTATGTAACTTCTGTGTATGGGGCCTACTTTACATACCTCTGATGAAGGGAAGTCAGCAGCCAGACCAGTGCATGGTACATGGGGAATGCTTCATGGCACAGAGAAAAAATTACCACTAGTTTCCATTTTTTGAGAGACTCTGAAAGTGAAAATGTTCAATTTTTACCTTCGCTTGGTGACTGTAGGCTGGTCCCTCACTTTGGTTATTACATTATAAAATTTAATTCTTTCCTTCTAAAATTTGTTTCCATAAAATTCAAGCCCGATTGAGGAACTATCTAGAATTCATATACACAAACACACACACACACATACATACACATTCATATACACTTCAAATCTTGCACCAATAAAGTTTCAACATGACTTGACAATTCAAGTCACGCCTTCACAGCACTGACGTCAGTACAATTCACATCTGTGAGCCTGATCCAGGGAAAACGAAGAGTGTGACCCACGCACGCATCCTGCTGGTCCTGTTTGCTCTTACTGACAGCTGCCGTGGGTCGCACTTCAGCTACAGACTTGCCTCAGGGAAGCTGAAGAGTGTTACAGGGAAGTGTTTTATGTGTGTCTGCCACTGTGCTGACAATTGGAAGAACTTGACCCCAGACCACTCTGTTCCATCTATGCTCACTGGAAACATATCAGCATTCATCACTATTCAACTTATCAGTTTCTACACCATAAATGCAAAAAGGGATAAGGAAGACAAAAAGCTGAAAGATGGATACCACATGGAATTATGGTTAGGCAAGAGGTCTGCTGTATGGACCTAAATGGGTCATGTGTATGGAAGGGTTCAGTTATTCAGTATTAGAGGGCGTGGGTTTCCCCGTGCACCGCGATTAGTAGTCTATTGTACGTCCCCCTTTAATTTCTACTGTCGCCATACCCTACCAGTACTGGTGCTCGCTATCAGCCCCTTTCTGCCAGCGAGGTCGGCCCTCTTCTGGCAGTGGTACCCGATAACTGCCCCAACTACCAGAGGCATTGGAAACTACTTGGGCAGGAAACTTTTTGTCTAATTTTGCTCAGAGGTCTCCTAGAGACATGAGGATCTTTTACGTGCCGTAAATCTATGACACGGGACCCACGGCTTAAAGTCCCTCCCAGAGGACTTGTTCCCTGAATTTTTCCGCCCTTAAAAATTCCACGACCTCCGCCGGGTTTGAACCCGCATACCTTGAGTCATGAGGTGGGAACGTTATCCCTAGACTACAGAGGCCGCTTATGGAAGGGTTAATTAGGAACTTACACACTGAGAGTGAATCATGTCTTGCCTACAGAGGATGAACAACACACTATATGTCTTATGGGCTGTTACTTCCAATGGTGTCACTTGTATGAAGTAAAATGTACTGCTTCTGTTTCTCCACACCCAGCTGTGATGTACTTGCATACATTCCAAATCTTTTATAAGATGACAGTACAAACAGTTCACAGTTTAACTGCTGGGAGAAAAGTTTTACATTTTGCTTCCAAGATTATTAACAGCCTTTGTAGTTATGCTATATGATGTCCCATGGTCAGTCCTGTATGCTCAAAAACACTGTAAATTGATGTGCTGCACAGTTTAAAAATGAAGTTGTGCACTTAGCTTCTGATTAGTACTGGGTTTAAACCCTTTAAAGACTGAATTTCTTCTAAATTATATATATATAAGAATCCAGTTTGTACCTCAGATGAAACACACTGCATCACCACCACAAAGCCCAACCAGTTAATGGTGTTAGGGGAAACAGTCGCTGTTTATTGTGAGAACAATATAGAACACATAAATACACTCTGTGGGCAGAATACAAAGTTTTAGTCTGTTGAAGCATGTGGTACATACAGTAGCCACTGGGTTTTAAAGGGTTATATCTTGCAACAGTTCTGGTGGAACAGCAATGGTCTAAATGAGGACCTGCAAGCAGTATTCTAATGCAGAAGTATTACCTTTGAGAGGAACGCTGTGAGTCTTAGCAGAACAGATGAGCCTTGAGACTCCTTCAACAACCTGACTCTTGGGCTCGGTTTCCTTCTCTTTCTCCTTCTTCTTACCCAGGCGCATGACTGTAAGCAAATGTTGAGAAATGCTGCAGAACTTCTTTTCAAAAGAAGTCTGATACATCTGATTTATCTTCTGTTCTGGGCCGCGCCAAAGCTCAAGCGGTTAGTCGCTGGCTTCCCACCGCGGTGGCCTGAGTTTGATCCCAGCTCTGGTCAAGTGGGATTTACAGTGGACAAAGTGGCGCTAGGGCAGGTTTCCTCCGAGTACTTCGGTTTCCCCTGCCAATCTTCATTCCACCAATTGCTCCACAATCACCCTCACCTGGGGCTGGGACAATAGGCCAGAAGTGGCCGCAGTACAAGGGACTTAGTCCCACCCCACTAGCAGTAAAAAAAAAACTTATGTTCTGCGTGGAGTGAAACTTGGTCTCACATTCACAGGGAAGGATATACATTAAGAGTATTTGAGATGAGTGTGCTAAGTAAATTATGTGGAACCACAGAACAAGAAGTAACAGGATAAAAGAGGAAACTGCATAATGAGGAGCTTCACAACATGTACTATTTTCCAGATATCAGTGGGGTGATCAAGCAAGGAGGATGAGGATAGGGGCATATTTGGAAGAAATGAAGAATGCACACAAAATTTTAATTAGAAAACTGTGAACTGGGTGTGTCCATATGGACTCAATTCATCTGAGGTTATGAACCAGAGACAGACTTCTGTGAACACGGTAATGAATGTTCAAGTTCTATTGAGAATGGAAAATTTATTGACTAGTTAAGCAACCATCAGTTCTTCAAGAGGGACTCTGTTTCTTGGAATCAATGGTGCTTATCATGAATAAATTCAGTGCCGTATATTTTTACACGTTCAATGATCAATGTTCGTTTGCACATTCTGGATTATACATGTAATTCTTTTTTAAACTGAATGTCATAAACAGAAACATTGTGTCATGATGCTTAACAGCCAGAATATTGGTCTAAGAGGTGTCCACTGCTAGGCAATGTCTTATTGAAATACGTTTCTTCAACAAAGATGCCCACAACAGTAGAGGTGTTGAGGATTGTGGACTCTGTGCAACGCGATAACATGTGTCGCCCATGGTGACGTAACAGCATTTCCCACTGTGATGTAACAGGGGACACTGCTGTTACTATGTGGCAACTTGGAACAGTATAAGAGGCTGACTGGGCGGTGTGTGAGCCAGCGTGTGTTGTGAATCCAGACAGGCAGCCAGAGAGCAGTGGTAGAGTAGGGGCCAGTGTATGGTGGGCGCCGGTAGAAGGCAGTGGAAGCCAGCACGGAGAGTTCTACAGTATAGTGAGAGTTAATATGAAAGGAGCGACTGTGAAACGACTAGTTTAACATTTTGTGTTATGTTACCGCGTTGAGTAATAAAGTGACTTCACGAGAATGCACCCCTTGAGTCTTCTTTCACGACAATTTCTGGTGGCGAAACCCGGGAGGATACACATGGTACACTTAGACTTCAAGACTTCGAGGGAAAGGAGAAGACAGACACACCCACGGTCACTGACTTTGACTTTGATCTGTCGATATTTGCGACTTCTGACTTTCGACAGACCCATACAAACGATCGACTAGCTTGTGAGATCATACTTGGAGATACGCTCACAACTCGGAATGGCGGACAGCGAACTCCGAAGGCTAAAGAGGAAGCGCTCCATGGCAAGGTTCACTCCCCTTATAATGGAATCCACTGCCAGCACCCCACTTGAGGATTATGAGTACTACTGAGACTGTTTACAGGAGACTCTGGATCAACTACTTTCATTGGATAACGATATCCAGGATCTTTTGGATTTCAGTGAATACATGACTGATGTGGAGGTGGCTTATGACTACATCGACGTATCCACGCAAGCACTTCTGATAGCCAAGTGGAAGATGGAGAACAGACCTGTCTCGACAGGAGAGAGGCGTAACTTTGCGGAAGAGCCCTCTGTCTCGAGGACCCTTTGGCCTCTGTTAGTGGACTCAGTGTTTTTGACAGATTGGAAGGAATGCCTTGAGAAACTAAAGGCCAAAGAAGAAATGCTGGAAAAATTGCACACCAATAGGAAGGCCTGTCGAGAAGAGATGGTGGCCGAAATCAGACCCAAAACAGACAAAGAGACGATGACCTGCTGAGACACAACAGAGGCACGCCTAGAAGAGGAGAAGCCGACCTCAATGGACAGGAAACCTGAAGCGGCCCAAAAGGAAGAGATCCCCATAAAAAATGCTGCAGTGAAACCGGTCAAAGGACAGAAAAAGCGGCATAGGGGAAAAAAGCAAGCTGCAGTGTGACGTGGAGAGCCAAAGGGGATAAACCGAGGAGACTGTGGATCTCAGAGGATATTGGCTGCCACCTGCAGGAAGGTATCATGCGGTGCAACAGTGGCACAATGTAGGAGATGCCTTCAAGAAAGAACAGACCAAAAATCAGGACGGGTGCTGGAAGACATGTGTTGCTGCCCGCTGAAGGATGACCCGCCGTGCAGGAGGGGCACGGCACAAGGGACACATCGTTGGGAAGAAGAAGAAGACTAAGAACAATGTGACAAGGGGAGCCCTGAGTTGGTGGACGTTCGGGAAAAGACTTCAGGTGGATCAGAAGGGCAGCAAGCACTTAAAGAACCCAGGCACAAGAAGGCAGCTGCATTGGAAGATCGAGAGGGGAGCAGATGAGCTTGTCAGGAAGGCTTTCAGACTGCAGTTCAGGAAGCGAGCAGCTGGATCATGTGTTGCGTTATGAAGAATGACGAATTGGACCTTGTGGAGGGGTCGGCGCCCTCCAAAACGGAAATAAAAGGGGGCTGCATACGGAGCCTGGCCACTACTGGAGTTACATCCCCCACTGGTAAGAAAGAGAGAGTGAATGAGTGGTTGGAGAAAGGAAGAAAAGAAACATGAGCCATACACCTGGAACTTTGCATGGACATGACAATGAACACAACGAGAATCAGTTGTCCAGTGTATCTTGTCATTCCTTTGGATTGACCAGGGTGGGGAGGATGTTGAGGATCGTGGACTCCGTGCAATGTGGTAACATGCATTGCAAGTGACATTGCCCACTGTGACATGACAAGGGACACTGCTGTTACTATGTGGCAACTGGGAACAGTATAAGAGGCTGGCTGAGCAGTGTGTGAGCCAATGTGTGTTGTGAATCCAGACAGGCAGCCAGAGAGCGCCAGTAGAAGCCAGCACGGAGAGTTTGACAGTTCTACAGTATAGTGAGAGTTAATACCGAAGGAACGACTGTGAAATGACTAGTTCAACATTTTGTGTTATAGTTACGTTGAATTGTAGTTACGGCGTTGAATAATAAAGTGATGTTATGAGAATACACCCCTCAAGTCTTGTTTCATGACAAGATGAACCACTGGAGGTGTTTTCAAATTTGCCTGCCTCAATGCTATAGTAGTCACTGTTGTACTCCTCCCAGTCATGAGATGAAAGATATAGACATAAGTTCTGCAGACCCCGGAACCAAGAATGAATGTGCTGGCGAAGGCCAACAGCAAATCTTTTCTACCGATTGACCAGGTGGAAGCCATCATGGACAGAAGCCGCTGAACATAGTAATAGTAGAGAGAACCCCTGTTACTGGAGACAATTACCAAGCAACAAATACATGAAGAGCTATAGTGATTTGAAGATTAACACACGTACTGCAATGTTGTAATGAGTGATATAAAAGATGAAAATAAGCGTTGCATTTAAGATGGTGGGTACATGCATGTACAAAAGGTGTTCTTATTATCTGTAGTTAAGGGTAATAAGTAAACCAATAAATTAAATTATCCATCCAAAACCTGTGTCTGGTCACTAATCTGTGACAAGTGGTGTCAGAAGTGGGAATCGATTGAACTGTAGATTGGAACCAACATGTCAGCTAATCATGGCAGACCCAGATTGTCCGTTAGCTGCCACATGAAAGAGGGAGGCCCATGAAGAAAAATAAGGAGGCCAAGATGGAGGCCCACCACAAAAAGATGAAGACCAAGAAGAAAGCCAATCAGGAAAAGACGGAGACCAATCAAGAATGGACAGAGGACAAGATGGACACTGTCATAAACTCTGCCCAAGAAAGGATGGTGGTTATGATAAAAGAACAGTCAGGAAGAAATGAAAGCCACAATGAGGGCTGAACAAGAAAAGATGGAGAGGCCACAGTAAACAACATCCTGTCTGAACTTGAGAGACCACAAACAAACGTGTGGAGGGTGCCATGGCATCTGCTGACCAACGGACTTACAGCCTCTATGAGGAACTGGGCCCTTGGGGTCATGGTTGCCAGGGGCCAAGAACAGCGGGAATGGGCGACCAAAATGCTGGCAATGTGTGTGGGGGATTTGGCCATCTTAGGAGAGACTGCTGACAGGGATATCCCTAGAAGGGCTTTGCAGAAGGAGGTTGACAGAGACCAAAGAAATGATGAGCAAAGGACCTGAAGAAGATGGCATTGGTAACATCACTTCAGCATGCATACAAGGAAAGACGATGACAGTGTAATCACTGAAGGATGGATAGGAGACAAATAATGCATTATGACCACTGATGAAGGAGCATCGGTGATGATCATCAGACCAGACATCACCACAGGATTTCCTGAGAGCAGCTGACCAGGCCATACCTCCTGCAGGAGGCTTCAGGGGAAACACTTCCCATTTTGAATGAAACCTTCATAGAGTCGACTCTGAAGCAGCTCCCACTGAAGAGTGGGGGGTTTGTTGCCAAGATCACTAACAAGTTCCCACTGGGAATGGATGACTTACATGCCCATGATGCATCTATGGATATGTGGCACTGTGTGCTGACTGGGTGATGATAAAGTGCCTTTGTAACTGCGGTGAGGTCATAATGACATAAATGGAAGGTCACCTGGAGGTGGTGGACACCCTACTGGGACCAGATTCATGGGTCACCCATGAGAGTACCTGTTTGGCCCTGAGGAGAGGTGCCTGTTACAATGGCTGAGCACTGCCAGCAGCAGAAGCACACTAACAGAAGCATGCCCCCTGCATGACCATGGTGGGTGAAGCATACTGCCCTAAGGAGGAAACAGTTTCATGACCCATTCTTTGAGAAATGAAGGCTGGATGATGCCAAAAAGAAAGGAATAAATGATGGGGTCAGTATGGCCTTGCAGAGTCATTCATAAGGGCGATCACAGACAAAAGAGGGAGGCCCCTGAAAGGAGAAAAAAAGGCGGCACACTTGTAGGCTTCTCATGATAAGCAACCTTAAGGAGGTCACAACTGACATGACACCTAATGGCAAGCGTACTGAAGTCAGAGAAGTATCATGGTGACATCCACCACTAGGCAATGGTGTGTTAAAACACGTTTCAATAGCAATCAATATGCATACAACAGCAGAGAAACTGCTGGAGGGAGTGTCTTCAAATTTGTGAGCACAAAGGTGAGGAGTAGCTGCATGATTCCCAGAGTCATGAGTCCTGTGGGACCTGGAACCAAGACTGACTGTGCTCGTGAGTGCCAGCAGCAGTTTACCTCAACTGAACCAAACCAGGTGGAAGCCACTGAACTGTAAGGTTTCTTATTTTGGACTCTATCCATCGTCTGGTATATATGACAAAAACCACAATGTTTCGGAGACCGTATGACTGGTCTCCGTCAGATCCAGTCTCCGAAACATTGTGGTTTTTTGTCATATATACCAGATGATGGATAGAGTCAAAAATAAGAAATCTTACAGTTCTGTACAGCATACACTATCATCAGAATCCTTCCAAGTCCACTGAAGAACTGTTGAGGACAGGAGTCATCCAGCACAGACGAGAGAATCCCAGTTACTGCAGGCCATTACCAAGCAATGTATGTGAAGACACAGCAGACTGGAAAGTGCTGTAGTTGTTTGAAGAAGAATAACAAAGGTGTTTTAACCATCTGTAATTAAAGGCAATAAGTATCCAACAAATGTGAATACCAATCCGAACCCTGTGTCTAGACACTGAACTGTGATGATATATTCATTTCTGAATGTAACAAAAGCCAGTTTCTCTTTTCATGAATATGATCACTGGAAATTCTTTCAATCATGGATGTGGCCATGGAAAGTTCTGTTTGCAAACTATGGACCAAGTGGTTGTGCTTACTTTTCTGCTTCTTCTCCTTTGTGGAGTAGCTCATGAGGAAGTGTTGTGTTGGTTGCTCCCCAGCCAGGGGAAGTCGTTGAATCTGCAGGGAACGGAATGTTGTCTTCAAGGTTGACTTGGTGGTGTCACCCTTGCTACTTTTCCCAACTGCAGGTGTCTCGCTTGCCTTGCCAGGAATCAACCAGTAGTCCAACTGCAACTCCATGGGCTCTGAGAGAGACTGGTCCCTGTGCAATTTCATCATATTTGTCACTCACTCTGCCTGCACAGACATTTATCAATGGCCACACAAAACGCAGACTAGAACTGAAACCACTCACAGAGGTCAACACAAAAAACAGGAAGCTTTAAGACAAAGCTTGGTAACCTTTGTGGAAACCTCAATGAATTATGAAGTGCTGATATATAACTCTCACTCAACCAGAACATGGCTTCTTGTGTCAAGTTGGGGGTGGTGATGAAATTCACAGTTTAGGTAGAAAACATCCCAAGTTAAAAAAAAAAGTCTCACCTGTTCTGTCCCATGTACAAGCTGTTGATGTTAGGTGAACTAGGGGGGGTTATGCGATCTTTCTTGTCTGGAAGAGATGCGAGGGAAGGAGGTGAACCAGATAGCTGGGGGACACTCAGCTGGGTCTCATCCAAATCCACTGACGCCGAAGCTGAAGTCTCAGGTGATCCAAGGCGAACATCCTACAACAAATTGAGGTTGAGGTCTTCCGCAACAAGCCATGACAGGGTGGTCAAAAAGAAACGTTCTACATTTATTCACTAGCATCACAAAATTGGGTTAAGACAAAATAATATACTGTATCTATGTTGGTCAGATACAAAGATATTCATAATTATTATAAGGTCTATAATTCACTCTGTAAACAGTCAAGCACCAGACTGCAGATGAAGCCCCCAACTTAGGACTGAAAATGTGATGTAGAGCCGTCACCTGCCTCAAGGAGTACTGACGCAACATGGAGCAATAATGGAATGATGACTAGTGGGGGGAAATTAAAGGATTGGAGAAAACTGTTCCAGAGCCATTGCCTCTATCCGAAATCTCACAAAGTCACTTGGGATTGAATCTGAGATCCTGCAGTGAGAAGCCAGCACCTAACTGCCTCAGCTATAGCGCAGCAAAAATATCTCACACATAAGGATGCAACTTTAATGTTTCTTCAGCCATCGATAGAAACCTGGTCGGCTACATATACGTGGTCTGACAACAACGTTTGTGAACTCATCTCGGTAAAAGTGCTACATACCTCATTGCTGAATATTACTGTGGTCACCTTCAAAGTACTCCCCTTGGGAAGCTATGCACCGATGCCAGTCCACCCTTCAAAACAATTTTGGAACTGGTTTTGTGGGATGTCCTTCAGAGAGACTGTTGTATTACTCCTGGTGTCATCAATATCATCAAAATGCCTTCCTTTCAATATTTCATTGTGGGCTAGATCCAGTGAACAGGGAGGGTGTTCCAGCACAGTTATCTGTTAGCTAACGCCCTCACAGATAGTGTTTTCTTTGGGAGCTCCTTTGGGACCAGTTTTGCACACACCTTCCTCATGTCAAGATCTTCAGTTAAGATTTTCCTGTTTCTCCATCGATGTTCGCTTGCTCTGCTATGGCACTGACAGTCAGCCAATGATTTTCGCGCACAATGTAACAAACTTTTGCAATGTTTTCTTTAGTTCTGCTCGTTGCTGGCCATCCTTGTCTCTCTTCATCAGTGACACTTTCTCTTCCCTCAGAAAAACGTGTCACCCACTTCTAAACTGTCGTTTTCTTCATAGCATTATCCCGATAAACTTGCAATAACATCTCTTTGATTTCACTTCTACTCTTGCCAAGTTTAACAAGAAATTTAATGTTCATTCATTGTTCTAATTCAAGCTCAGACATCCTCACAGCAGCATACCAGAACACACTCAGACAATAATAGACGCCACTCAGTAACTGATTGCCACAGATCAACAACAACAGAGCTGTGAAACGCTGATATGCCAATGTCATCAAACCATACTGAGGTTTCTGTCTACTGCAGCCATGGCAAGCACACGGTGGTGAGTTCGTGAACTTTATTGTCATGGGTCTCTGTGCAAAAGACATTCTGCATCAGAGTAACAACAGCCAGCATGAACTTTTCCATGTTTTCCCTTTTCCTCACCTCTAGGAGAGGTAGTTCTTTCTGAATTTAAGGAATAACAGAACCCCAGCATGGTTCCGAGCCCCAGTGAAGCTACAGGGACCATCTATCGACTACCACGCCCATCTTTACTGTACCACAGAGGCAGTGCAGTCTGCCTCACAATTGGACAGAGGTGCAAACTGGCGAGCTTCAGCCCAGTACAATCATTTCTATTGAGATACAAATCGGTGTCAACTTGCTCTCATGATAAAAATTTATTGAAATTTCAATAGCAGATCTGTGAAACATGCATTATATTTCCAGTCTTGCAGTAAACTCTGGAGTGATGTGGTTAAACTGACTATATGAGGAATACTGCACTGGCAAGGCAGAGGTCTGAAATATATGTACTTCATACATAACACAATGTTAAGTTAATCTATTTATCATTTCACGGTCAAGGTTTCTTATGAAGCTGTTAGTGGTCCACTCAGGTTTTGAAGCTCATTACAATGGCAGGTCATATCTCAAAAACGAAAGCTATTCCAACACTTTTGCGTGTCTTAACCTGGGTTGATTACTGATCTATGTGAAAATAATGCCACAGGCACAGATGCTCCAGTACTTTCTGAGCATGTGGCATACATGCACACAACAGCCAGAGACCTGCACAATGCTGTAACTGCCTTTCTGATGTGTGACACAGGGAAAGCATGAGAAATTTCTGAATCCAATTGAGAGTAATGTCTGCTAATATTATATTTCAGCATCCTGTTGCATTGAGGTATAACTTAAGACTTGTTTTCTATCTATAATGCAACAATATTAACTTAATAACATTAATTCATACTTAATTCACTAAATGTTCATTATATATTTAAATGTCATTAAAATTATTAAAATATATGTACATTTGGTGTTTTTGTTACATGTTTCAGGCATCACATCTTGTAAAGGAGTCTACTGCACCATGTACTTGGTCTAATAGTGTTCATTAAGGCACACAGTTGTTGTCATTATTAATTTCCTTGAATTCTGATGTTGTGGGACGAATGTCGTCCTATCTTATATATTGCAGCAGCTGTTTTCGTGTCCTACTGGGTGTGCTGCTCGCTTAGTTGTGTGTATCTAGTGTTGCTCTGTGTTCCTTGTACTCTGCTGCAACATAAGAGCTGGATCAAATCTATGTAATGATTTCTACTGTGCTGTGAATGAGGTAATATACTATGTGTATTATGGCTGGTGCCTAAGTTTGTGTAGCTTATGACTTATTCACGCAGAACATTTTCCCTGAATGGGCATGTGAATGAGCAGAAATGTGTAGGACCATAGAAAATCTGCTCAACCATGAACAATAATCTTTTCTTTCTCTATGACCAACATCCACTACTGGAGCTACCTACCTCTGTTAAACCTTTGTTTCATCAAAGTGGTGAGAGATTCCTCCTCCTTCTGGAAAGGTGTCTAGCAACAGAACTCAAAGGTTCAACAATGACAAAAACTGGAGGATATAATCTTGAGACAATTAATTCAGAAACAAATTTCCTCAGAAATACATGGTGTGTCCAGGATCCGTTAGGACTAATTTATTTAAATTTTGTCCTGCAATGCCATCTGTTGGCGAGTTGTCACGTTAAGATTCTTAAAGTTTCAGCTGTGGCTGTCTATAATTTCAAAGTGCAAGCATCGCTGCATCATGTGTTCTGATCTTGAATGTAACAGTACTGTTCTGACACTTGTCGGAAAATGGCAGTTGAACGGAGAGCCAACATCAAATTTTGTTTGAAGTTAAGCAAAACAGACGGGGAAGCATACAAAATGATGAAAAGTGTATGGTAGAGATTGTTTGAGTCCCTCGAACATTTTTCGATGGTATGCTGTATTTCGTGACAGCAGGGAGGACACTGAAGGCACTCCACGTGCATCAAAGCCGAGAACAAGTCGCACTGAAGAAAATGTGAAAAAAGTGACTGATATCCTTGCATCAGAAAGATGTGTTTCTGCAAGACTCATCGAGGAGCTTTTAGGAATACCAAGAAGTACTGTAAATCAAATTTTGACTGATGATTTGGGCAAACAGAAGGTCTGTGCACGGTTTGTACTGCACACGCTGTCAGGCGATGAAAAACATGGCAGAGTGGAACACCGCAGAGACATGTTACGGTTGGCCCAAAGTGATACAAAATTTACAAAATCGTTTGTTCCTGGTGACGAGACATGGTGTTTTCAATATGAGCCTCTCACAAAGCATCAGAGTGCAGCGTGGTTGAGCCCAAAGAAGCCGAAACCAAAGAAAGTGCGCATGCAAAATAGTCGATTAAAGACACTGCTAACTGTTTTCTTCAATTCCAAAGGAATCATTCACAAGGAATTTCTGCCAGAAGGTCAAACAGTGAATTCTGATTATTATCTTGGAGTCCCCAATCGTTTGTGGGTGAGAATTCTTCGAATTCGACCTGAATATCGAGAGCAATGTTCCTGGTCACTCCACCATGACAATGCCCCACACCACAAATCGAAGATCGCGCGCAACTTTTGGGCCAGAAAAGGGATCACAGTCGTCGATCATCCTCCATATTCGCCAGATTTGGTTCCAGCAGATTTCTGGTTGTTCCCAAAAGTTAAGTTGGCGATCAAAGGAGACTGTCAGGACACCATCCAGTACATCCAAAGGGAATGTACCGCAGTTTTAAATGTGATTCCACAGAAGGAGTACAGTAACTGTTTTCGAAAACTTTTAATCGATTCCAGCTATGTATTGATTCAGAAGGAGACTATTTTGAATAAAAAGAGTGAAATTTTGAAAACAATTCACGTCTTGTATTTTTAATGTACACAGTCCTAACAGAACCTGGACACACTGTGTAAGATAGAAATAACCATGACCACCACTGTGATAAGCCCAAATCATACTTGCTCTAAATAGTGTAATTCATCTGCCATTTGTACTGCTTCACACTCTTGGCAGCATTGCCAAGCAATGCCTGTAAACACAGCGTTTATGCAACAGTGAAGTGAGGTGGGTTTTCCGCTGTCCAACTGATGGTTTATAAGGGAGACTGGAGTGAGAAGGATTGAGTTGAAATGCAGCGGCCACCGAAGCCAGTTAGTATTCGGAGCAATCTGCAGCAGTGAAAGTCTAGCAGTCACCGAGTTCAGTTGTAGTGAGTGTGGATTGTGAAGCCAGACAGAAGACAGTTGAAATATAGCAGCAGTCACGGAAAGAAGAACCGAACTCATGGTTAGAAGATTTTATGTGTGATGTTCAGTGATAGTGTGCGGTAACTAAGAAGTCAGCCTGTGAAGACTTATTGTGTGCCTTCAAGACTTTGTGTGTGCTGTAGTATAGTTATATTGGGAGTGTGTAATTCAGAGAGACCTGTATAGCTCCCGCATTATTAATACTCGAAGACTACTGAAGATAGAGTGAAGAGATTATTCTGTAGGGTTTGTAAAGTGTGTAAACCCGCAAGAGTGTTATAACCAATTGTAGTTATGACTTGTAGGTTGTTAAATAAACCAATTAACAATCTGAACAGCGTCTTCAGTAGCAAAACATGTTACAATATATATATACAGTGCAATAATTCAATAATATCAAGCCAGTCTCTTGAGTTGTGACAGTTTTAATACAAGTGTGCCAACCCAAATTAAGTGGCTTGTGGCATGCAAATGGTTAAACAGAAACAAAATTAATGAAAATTTAAAAGGGATAAACATTTCTTAGTATTTTGATGGGTAGAAGTAAAGCACTACTTCACAGCAGCTGACTGCAGCTATGATATCATTTGAATGATACAAGTAGCAGTCTGTGCCATGTGGTCAGCTGGTGCACATGCACAGGTGCCAAACTGTCTGGTCACAAATGTGTTCAGTCCACACACTAATTCTTTAGCAGTTTATATTTCCAAACACTTTAATTTATGTTTTCCTTTCTGGGTAGGAGTCTAATAGTCTTACAAAACAAGAGGGCCCCTAGTTGTTGTACATGAATGAACTGTGTTCTGGAAGTGTAAAATATAAGAGGAGCTTCTAAACTGAAATACAACAAACAATTTATATTTTAATAATTAAGAAACAATACATTCTGCTTGTGATACTTACATTAACAAAGGGAATAAAAATCTGAGAAGACTCCTCATCAGAACTGGTAACAAAAAGAACAAAATTAAGCATTAGTACAAAGACATCTTGCTACAAACTCTTATAATGAGGAGCCCCTTGACTGGCGATTTTTGAGCTATACTTTGTTCCAGATGTCACCACCAAACTGTGAGCTTGACACTTGGTGGACTTTCAGCTCAAATAAAACACTGCTCATACTGAACCAAGGCATGGAACACAGCTACTCAGTGGTCACCCTGGCTACAAACTCACCACCAGCCAACTGAGGCATGGCTCAGCTCACAGACCACACATGTGTATGTACCTCACTGTGGCTTCTGGCAAAACAGTTGCAACAGAGAGCACCTCATTTAGTTTGTCTGTTCCTTGCACACAGTATATAAAATGAATGCATGATGAGAATGTCATGGTCCTCCTTCTCCAAAACTACAGAACATGCTTGCTGTCACCATGTGCATAATTTCCCCCATTAACTCATACATTTTGTTAGGGTTTATGTGAGATATAATGCACCAGACAGCAGTTCTACTATTTTAATTTCAAAATGTCAATATATGCCAACAGCACCAACTAATGGTAATTTATATTCTGGGGAATAGCAAAACAGAATCAGCCCAAGGAAACTGCTCTTTCATTGCTGAAGTATCACTTGTTGCAGGTACTAAGAGATTTTTCTCTTGTCCACAGCACCCAACACTCTTTCCCCAGAGGTAAAGTGGTGGGGGTGCGAATCTGACCATTCACCTCCATCTCTTGCTGAGGTCAAGAATGGTGGAGCTATACCTCTACTCCCCCATATGCTATCATGGCATAGTGTTCAATTACATAATAAATTCAGGGGTAACTTTACCTTTACCTTATCCAATACAATCTTGCAAGGATCTTAGTTAGGAATTCCAGTATTTATCAGAATAGCTCATCATATGAGTATGGACCTTGGTACTTGTACATGTTAACCCATCTCTACAACTTTTAACATGAAACACTCTGATGTGGTGTGTACATAATGAAAAATGAGCAGAGTGAGTAACACATTCCTCTATTTCTGACTAGCTTTCTATACAACATGAATACTGCTGTCTCCTGGCATGTGATGTGATGTAGTCTGGAAGATATTTATACATGTTTCACAGGATCCTGTTGCCTCCATCTTCAGATGGATGGACAGACTTCTCTACCCTGAAGGAGGAGCTCATTCCCCCTCATTGTTGGTATACATGTATGAAGCCGCACAGTGTCATGTCCCACAAGAACCTCAATTCACAGAAAAACTTGAGCTCACCTCTTCTCCTTGTATGTTATCATGGCTTCAGCTACAGGAAGTTGGATTGTGGCACTGGCACTGTGCAGGTACCGATGGACTCGGTTTAACATCTCCTGACAGTCTGTTTTCTGCAGTTCTGCCCGTTCGAGCAGTTCCTTCCATGTCTCGGCGGAGAAGGCCGATGCGTACACGCCATCCAGGCTGCTGAGGTAGCGAGCCAGAGAGTTGTTTCCTGTACAAGATACCGCAGTGAATGACTAATGAGCAACAATACAAAATGAAATCAACTTATTTAACTGCTTGGTCTACTCAATAAAATATCTGAGAGTTTGTTAGCTATTTAATGACTATGTACCAGTTACCGAGGTTACATAGAAATGAACGAGAATTATATTGATATTGCGGCATGTAGACCCATTGCTAAGCAATGACTGTTGCAAGTAATGTCTCTGCAAGCAAGCATGTTACCATGGCAACAATGGAACAGCACCAGAGGAACTGAATTTTCTGTGATCCGTGCTGAGATGTCATAAGCAGGACAGTTAGTTAGTGAGAGTCAGTTGAATGAAGAGAAGAGTAGTTGGTTTGTGAATGAGTTAGTAAGTCAGTTAGTTAAGAGCTGCTGTAGCTGAGACTGGGGACAGTTCAGGAACCCAGAGGAAGGCAAACATCCACCACTACCAGAAGACTGGTGAAGACATGGAAGGCTGATAAGACTTACGTGTGTGCTCTAGTGTACTGTAAAGTGTCTGAATTAGTCAAATGGTTACAATTACTTGTAGTCATAGATCCAATTCCTGGTACTCATTTCTGTTAGAGGCTGAGTAAACCCCAGGGCCTAGTGCGGCTGGTAGGATTACGTCAATTGAAAAAAATCAAATGACCTCATCGGGACTTGAACCCGCGACTTTCCGGCTTGTAGTATAGCCCCTCAACCAACTATGCTACCAAGTGCCTAATTAAATAATTTTCCTGGGGAGTAAAGTGCGGCCGGCATGTAAGGCTGATAACCTTACTGCCATCTTTGAGCCAACTATCTCGATAGTGTGGGACCCTCAACGTCTCACAACCCTATGGGCCTTCATGGCCTGTTACAGGGATACCTTTACTTTTTTTTTTACATAGATCCAATTACCAGTCCAAATCCTGCTTACAGTCACTCATACATGTGACAGTATATTATATATCAGGCTGCACCATAGCTCAAGCTGTTAGTCGCTGGCTTCCCAACGCGGAGGCCCAGGTTCGATCCCGGGTCTGGCCAAGTGGGATTTGTGGTCAACAAATGGCGCTGGGGCAGGTTTTCTCCGAGCACTTCAGTTTCCCCTGCCAATCTTCATTCCACCAATTGCTCCACAATCACCCTCACCTATCACCTGGGGCTGGTACAATAGGCCAGAAGTGGGCGCAGTACAAGGGACTTAGTCCCACCCCACTAGCAATAAAAAAATGTTATACATTCATTTCACCCCAAGGCCAATATCAATGTTTCAAAACTTAACCAGGTTAGTAGCAAAACTGCTTATCATTTGGGAGGAGACAGCATGCTGCCAGTAGAAAGGTACCAACAAAATAAGGAACCTGCTGCCTCCATATTCAGTACAGAAGAATGCCTTTCTACTGGACTATACAGCATCACATCCCAGATGACAATTGTTCTTCACATTCACCATATACAGACATCAAATCTCGCATCATATCTTGGTCTGACCTTTGTACTGAATTTTTAAAACATTCAGACCATTTGGTTTTCAGGGTGCACACACGTGTATGTGTGCACACATTAATGTTGCCACATCCACAAGCAAACACACACTCACATATGGAACCCCTGCATTGGGCTAATATCCTTCACCACACAGACTTTTAAACAAGTGGAGACTGTGTCTGTCTGCACATTCAGGTTTCAACTTAAAAACTACTCAGTAAAATCTTGAACTGACATCTGCCTCAGAAGCCATTGGAGGATTCAATTTGAAGTCTGAGTTTTGGTCCAACATCTTGTACTTTATATGAAACTTAATCACATATCGGCATTTTTTTTGAGCATGGCTCCACACAAAAGAAAAAGCTTGGCACATGACCAGCATTCACAGGTGGACTACGAAATAGGTGAAGTAGGCCATGGCTTAGGACTCCATGTGTGGCAGGCATGCAACTTGTCCAATATGAGAGAGTGGAAAGCCTTTAAGCCTTAGAGGCTTTACACACACACATGCACACACTCCTGCGTGCGCATGTGCCACCAAATTTTTTACTGCCTTGCAAGCTCAGCATTGAGCACATTGTCCTAGGACCCTATAAACTCTTAAACTGCCTCTGCCTGTATTTACAATAAATGAACACCAAGGCTGATAAGGCACATGAAATTATATAATCAGTACAGCCACTTGCTATACAGATAAAACTCTCCAAGAAAGAAACTAGGGAATAATTACAGCTAACTGGAAACATGTGAGGGGGCACACATGAGCGTAGCTGGTTGAGGAACTATGCTACAAGCCAGAAGGTCACAGGTTCGAGTCCTGATGAGGTGGATTTTTTCTAAATTTACCTAATTCTTCCAGCTGGAATATGGCCATGGGGTAGACTCAGGCTCTAACAGAAATTAGCACCAGGAATCTTCCTGGAGGGTAAAGGACAGCCGAAGTGTAAGGCTGAGAATCTTACTGCCATCTGTGAGCTGACTGTCTAGAGAATATGTGGAAGCCTCGACATCTATGGGCCTTCATGGCCTGTTACAGGGATAGCTTTACTTTTAATTGGAACCATGTGAGACAGTTTACATGACATCTATTCAAACTGGGAATTGGAAATAGCCCTATCTGCAAAACATGCCATGACAAAGCCATGTGACTACTGAGTACAGCAAGACTAACAGAGGGCTACGTGTAGAGAGGGGATAGACGATCACAGTGCAAGGGCCATCTTATTCCATCCCCTTCAATCTACCTACTGTAGAGACCTGCAGAGAGAAGAGAGCAGGACAAGCTATAGTGACTCACCCAGTGGAACAATGAGGAACTTTATGTAATTCTGCCAGTCGGGAGGCTTGAACGACAGCTGATCCACATAGCTCCGGAGCACCGAGTTGATGAAGCTGTCCGACCCTGCCAACAGCACCTTGATAGGGGGCGGTGGCTTCGCATTGCTGTTGCAGCTGGAACAATGCCCGACTTACCCCATATTGGAATGGTGTTGTACTGCACTGGCAACAGCATTTCCCAACAGCAAGGTGGCACATTCCACTGTTGGGAAATGCTAGGAATATAAACTCAGGCAAAGCTGAACCTTATCATGCATATATATATATATATATATATATGTCACTTCCTCAGCCCAAGAGAATATGTGCTCATCAGGAGAAATCAATACATTTCTTACAGGTTTACGTCCCACTTCCAAAAAATACGAGCCAGGACGGAAACAGAGAAACAGATTGAAAATATATTATTTTTAAGACTACCGTCTTCTGGGATGTGATATCATGTGGTCTGGTAGATTGTTACTACTGGTACTGCGGCTGCTGCTGGTTCCATTTTCAGGGCAGAAGAGTAAACTGAGCAAGGCAGGAAATGTTATGGCCACAGTTTCCTTATTTTGTTTCTTCTGAACTCCCTCCACCTCCTGTCCATTCGGTTGGAACCACCGCTGCTCCCAGTTCCTCTACTGAGAAACAACCCTTTCAAGAGCCAATGTCCTTTACACTGTTCTTCTTACTTCTGTTGGTTCACTCAGGGACCCACCCCCACCCCTTCTCTTGACATCCACACTTCCTTCCAACCTTGGCAGGGCCCTCCAAAATGTTGGTGACAATAATGATATCACACCCCAGAAGACAGTGATCCTCAAATTTTGTGTGCTGTCACAATTCCTCATTCACAAATCATATCCTTGAGCAAACCACCCCAGCACCTTCAGTATCATGTGCACTGTGTGATAAAAAGCAACAAGCTCTAACTTCTTGACAACACCCAACTACAGGCTGCACATAAAGCATTATTGACCATATGTTTACAATCACACATCCTGAAGGCAGCCTCTGCAGTGAACATGCAGATTGGCTGTGATTGATTTCTAAACACACTTTATTCCAATCACCACATTCTCTATTGATATGCTGATAGAGACTTTTTGTTTCAGCACTGGCTGCAACTTAAATTTGGTGTAGTGGTAATGCCCAGTTCAATTTTCATCCAAGACATGGCAATAATGACTGAGGTTTTGTGGTTTTACTCAGTCCCTTCAAGTAAAATCCAGGAGAGTACCTTGATTAAGGATGATTACTCTCTTCCAGATCCTTTCAGGTTCACCAGCCATACAATCACCCACACAAAAGAAAAAGAACTTCAATTTGAATGCCAGAATAAAAACTCATGCACGTGCATGAACACTCTCTTAAGGGTATAGAAGATCTGCTTGAGGCTGGGGAGGATTTGGATCCCTCTACGCTCATGTTTGCCCACCAGTACCCATGTGCCCATCATACACATGCATGAAGGGACAAACAGTTTTACAGGTGCACCAGCAGGGAAAACTTGGAGCCCAAAGTGTGCTGTTTCTATCGCCTTACCAGAGTGGACTGACTCTCATCTTGAGACTTGCCAGGAATTCAGGAAGTAAGAAGCGTTAAAGGCTTGGCAGACAGCGTGGATCAGCAACTACTATCTGAACAAGAACATTCCTACTCAGTGTACAGCGGCTGAGCATGCTCCGTGTTGGTGTCTTCAGCAGACATACTGTTACTGCAGTCACCAGAAGTTTCCCTGCTCTCACAGTCACTCTGACAGGTGGTAGCAATGTCCTCTGCCACTGTCAGGATTGAGATCAGTGACAGTATGGTCTATCACTTATGGAATGACTGAATCTCTTTCCCAGTATTGGATTTGGGTTGTTTTTATGTGTCCACAAAACTCGTCACAAGTGCATCTTTGCACACTCTCACTACTTCTTCATGCCCATGCAAGTTCCATGGGATTTACATGGCACATATATGGAGGCAAATCAACAAGTGTGTGCTGGTATTTTCTGAAATGTGATCAGTTTTGTACATATTCTTTTTGGGTTTCACTGGAAGAACTATCTTATACAGCTAACATTTTCACATGGTACTGTTGCACTTCACTCCTTTTTGAGGCGCCAGGAAATCATGTCTGCCTTTACTGACTAGGTTGATGGTGGTCAGTCAGTCTGGAGCCAGCAACAAGGTGCACTGACTGAAGGAGAAGACTGGGAATTAGTTTTTTGACTACTCATTTTTTAAAAGTCTGCAGCATTCATTTGACCATGGCAGTTCCCAGCTGCACCTCCTGCCCTACAAATACGAGGGTAAGTCAATAAGGAAGTTACAAATGGATATAGAACTTGAACAAATAAGAGTACTGATTTGAAAAATGCTTTTATTTCTCAACATAATCTCCCTGTACATTGAGGCACTTGTCCCATTGTTTCACAAGCCCCTGAAAACCAGCAGCATAAAATTCCCTTTCTACAGTTTCATCGTTGGGAAAATGTTCAGCTGAAAGATGATGTTTAAGAGGGCCGAACAAATGGAAATCGCTTGGAGCAAGATTGGGGCTATACGGAGGAAGCTTGAGGACTTCCCACTTGAAATTTTGCAGTGACTCACTTGTGTTGTTGGCAGTATGGGGACGCACGTTGTCATGCAAGAGCAACATGCCTTTGGTGAGGAGTCCTGGTCGCTTGCGTTGAACGGCCTTATGAAGTTTCTTGAGGATGTTACAGTTTGAGTTATCATTTATGGTTTGTCCTTGAGGCTGGAATTCAGCGAGCAGTATGCCTTTGTGATCCCAGTCACTGCCTGGTTCCAACAGCAGCCCAAAGAATTTTATGCTGCTGGTTTTCAGGGGCTTGTGAAACGATGGGACAAGTTCCTCAGTGTACAGGGAGATTATGTTGAGAAATAAAAGCATTTTTCAAATCAGTACTCTTATTTGTTCAAGTTCTATATCCATTTGTAACTTCCTTATTGACTTACGTACATACATTCTGCATTATGAATAAACTCATTAATTTTCTCTATAGACAGAAGAAGAAGCCTGTTTCAAGAGTTCACACTGATCTGGGCTCTCATGACTTCATTGTTTTGCAACATTTACAGAAGGTTAGGTTGCTGTGTCAACCTATGCTTCATCAACAAGGCCAAGGGGCCCATGAGCCAAGTTCCCCCATGAACTTCTTGTAACCTAAACAACTTCCCCTTGGATTTAACAAAATTGTTATAGTATTGTGACGTGTTGCGCAATGGTAATAGGCAGGTCAACATCCTCCCTCCCCTCCCCCCGCCAGCGGTGACGCGCCGAGCGGAGCCGAAGTTAGCCGAGTCCCAGCATCCTGGTAGCTATGCAACATGAGTCAACAGCGGTGACATCACCATGGGATACCGCGGTTACTAGGCAACAGTAAACAACTCCGGGCAGCGTTGCTAGCAACATGGCACCAGGCAACAAGAGTGCCTATTACGTGGCTGTATTCTGTGTTGTCCGGAACGAGGCTACATAAGGAGCAGCGAAGGCTATTCACAGTTAGTTCTCAAGTTAGTTCCGAGAGAGTTCCGAGTTAGCCAGCAACCAGTCAGTTGTATTCTGGCATTTGGAGTGTAGTATTTGTGATACTGCAGATAGCAGTAATTGTCAGATTGTAATTTGGGTGATTGTAAGTGCGAATGTGAAATAAAATTCGCTATATCAAATATGGCGTGAAGTTATGTGTCGCGTTATACATCCAACACGCGACAGTATATAAAAGATAATAAATTTATTGAAATACTTGTATGCCATACTAAATGAAAACAAATTAGAAATTCATTACACTACTTTTATACACTGAGGTACAGGATGCTGGTGTAGGCTGGCTCCTCCAGCCTCTAGAAATCAGCCATCCCTGCACTAGATAGGTACCATGTCAAGCTGGAACGCATATTTATAGGCAATTTGTTTTGCATTCATTTGCTAAGTGGTCATTAAGTGAGAAAAAATGAAAGGTTTTGTTACTGAATGATTTGATGTCATACATTTTACTAAAAGGGTCTCATGGCAAAGGAAAGACATTAATCCAGATCAGGGATGTGTCAACCTGAACTTAAGAGCACCTCTTCATATGACCCCTTTAACCTTTAACGGCCGAATGTTATAATTATTGGCATCCAGTAGCACCCCGAGCTGGCCGAATGTTATAATTTTTAGAGGCAAGCCACGTGCTTCCTTTGTGAGTGCTGGCAGTTTGACCTTGGGTTTGAAACCCAAACAAACTCATGAATGTTCATCTCAGATGTTTATTTGTTAGCTCTGAAGAAAGAAATCGTTTATCAGGGTACTGGTTTCGAAACTATTTACGTTTAGATATGACTGTTTATGACCTGGTGAGCCAATAGAGGTCAGCTTTGTTTTGAGGACTTAGAGGAGGAAATATTCGTGGGCGCTTACATATCAGTGCTACCACAGCTTTCACGGAAGGGTGACGAATTCAGGGATTGGTTTGCAGTGTTGAATTGTCAGTTAGGATGTCAGTGGCGGATTTTCTAATATTTGGTTATTAGTTAGGAAGTCAGTGTCAGACTCCTATATTTCTTTGAATATAATTTTTATTGTGTATCTCGGAAGAGGTATAAACCCACTGAGCCAGTGTTACT